GGCTGTGAGCGGCATCAAGAGGTGGCTGCCCTTGCCTAAGATGGACCAGTTTAGCTGTGAAACCAAACCACCTGTGCTTTTCCAGGAAACCATCACAGAGTGAGACTGGACAGATGTGATATATACATGTAAAGGTTGGTTTGAAGGCAGGGCAAAGTATCCATCCACCGCAACTGTCACTGACTTGAGATCTGCCCCGACAAGATTGTGGGCAATGCAGATGTATGAGCCAGCTTCCTGCTCTGTGGCATTGTAGATGTCAAAGGTTCCCTCAGGGTACATGTAGTACTTATCAGACACACTACCCGGCAGGACCCTTTCACCCAGCGGTGTCACCCAGTAGATCTCAGGCTCTGGTTCTCCAAACGCCCGGCAGTGTAATGACACTGAGCTCCCTTTACCAACCTCGAGCCGATCTGGGAGGCTTCCAGGTGGGATCAGAGGAAGGCAGATCTCTGTCATCTCCCTGAAGTGCACCTGTCGGACATGCTGGCCTTGGTACTCTGGGGGTTCCACACACAACAAGAAGTCAGGCTCCATGAACCGAACTGCCGTCCTGTTCATGTTGACCCAGCGGATGATGCAGTCACAGCAGATGGGGTTGCTGTGCAGACTAACCTCTCTCAGGTTGGGCAGGGGTTCTACAGTGCTGTGGTGGAGTCCCCTCAGAGCATTACTGTTCAGCATCAGAGTCTCCAGCCTGGGGAGCTTGTGGAAGGCCCTCGGGTGAATGTATGACAGCCTGGGGTTGTTGGTGGCCTCAATTTTTGTAAGCTCAGGGAGGTTGCTCAGGGCAAAACTGTCAATGGATACAAGCTTGGGCATGCTGTTGATGCCGAGCTCCTTAAGATGCATCATATCCATGAAGTCCCCTCTCTGGATCCTCTCAATGGGGTTCTTATTTAAATCCAGGAACTTCAGGTTCTGGACTCTTGTCAGTGCTGCTCGGGGGACTCGGTTAAGCAGGTTGTCAAAAAATGAGATGCTCTCCAAGTTCTCAAGACCAACCAGACTATTGTCAGGGATTTCAGTGAGATTCATCCTGGCAAGCACAAGGCTTCTGAGGTTAGTCAGAGGTTTAAAGTTCATATCTGACAGTTCGAGGATGGGGTTTTCTCCCAGCATCAGGATCTCCAGGTTGGGAAGTGGCAGGAACCAACGGCTGTTGATGCTTGTCAGTCGATTGGAATTGAGGTGAAGCCTCAGCAGCCTGGTCAGACCCCAGAAGGCTCTGGGGCTGATAGAGAAAATCAGGTTGTGGTTGATGTAGAACTCCTGGAGGTTGGGCAGAAAAGCCAGGCAGCTGTCAGGAAGCTCCTGAATGTAGTTCTCTTCCAAGTGGAGCGACAGAAGCTGGAGGAGAGGCCCCAGATTTACGCCGCTCACAGAGGAAATGTTATTTTGTGACAAGTCGATTTCAGTGATGTTGGCCAAGTAATCCAAGGTTTTCTCCACATTAATGATGTTGTTTGTCTGGAGCAGCAGCACTTGTGTTTCTGAGGGGAGTCTCTCCGGGAGCACTGAGAGGCCCAAGTCATTGCAGTCCACAGTGGCAGCCTCGGTGTAAACAGAGCTGGGTGAGAACCAGGGACGTATCTCACATCGACACAATGGGGGGCAGTGACCGCCCCCCCCAGAGGCCAGAGCTATGGCAGCCAGCAAACAAGCCATAACTGCTGTCTCCTTCATCTTGGCCCTGTATTCCCTTCAGCCAGTAAATGGCCCTTGTGGAGTCAGCTGTTAGCGCTGTTAACTTCACAAATAAAAGCTCATTTGTTACTGCAGCAAGACAAGGATGGATTTCTGCTGACGCCTGCTCCCTGAAGCTATGGCCCTGTCGTCTTCCAGCTCTTGGCAAAGAGAGCCAACCGTTCAGTTTGGTCCGTGCCAGGCTGACAGCACACTGAAATATGTCAAGGTCACTGTATCCTTCAGGGTGCAGCGGTGTGCAGCAGACGGACGGTGGAGGAGTATCGGGGCTCCGGCTGGGGACGAATCATTCTGCTTTCCATCATTATTAGCCTCCGTCGCTGTCAGTGTTGTCAGTTTCCATCTGTGGAGACAGGAGAGAAAAAAGGGCATTATAACAGTGTGCTCTTGAGATATGAAGGCATATTGACATTTAGGAGTCCTGAGACTTAAGCCTTTTCAGCCTCATTTGATTTTATTGCTTTCCTTGCACCACCTGAATTGTGAGTTATGATTAATTTGACCTTAGGTACATTATTTGAATTAGGTACATTGTATGAATCCAAAACTGCTGCAGCTGAGTCTTTGTTATATGGCTGAAAGGCAGGAGGACTGTGGCTCACAGGCCAGTGTTTGTTTTTGCTCTTTGAAAAAGATGATGCTCAAATGTATGTTGACTCGAGAGGCAAAACACTGCAGAGTTCCTCTTTTCCTGGTGGTGTAATTAACAGAGCTTCACCACAACCGAACCTCTCGTGTCTTGTGAACAGTGCAGCTGTACACACTTATCGAGTCAGACACACAAACCACACCACAGCTGATACCCACAAACTCCAGGCATTGTAGATCCACCAAAATACCCATCGAGCCTGACACAGGTCTCGAGCTGTGACTCCTCAGCTGCTTTTTACATAATTCATGAGGCTCTGGATCAGAGCTGTTGGTACAGGGGACAGGTGCACGGCAGGCTTTGCCTGTGTTGACTGCACATATTGATGTTTTGATTAATTTGTGACCTTGAGTGCAGAAGCCACAGCTGAGTGTATGACAGTAGATGAAGCTGTCGGTCAGGCTGGAGTATCCGGTGGCTGATGAGGATGAGCTCTGACACTTCATGCATATATTAGCTTGTTTACGGGTATCTGTGTGCACAGGTTTGCAGAAATGGCAGAGCATCCCTCCCACTGTGTCCCCCACCCTCTCTCTCTTTCTCAAAGTGCTTCTGCTTTACTTTCCTAAAACAGCTGGACAACGTAGCAGACGTTCCTCAGGCCGTGTCTGTTGGGGATTAATACTCATCTGCCACTTTAGTATTTCTGGCAACAGGCCAGTGCATGTGGCACTGAGTCGAAATCAGCTACAGCAGCCATGTTCCTGTCTCTTCATATTTCAGACTTTGGAGGCTTTTCATCGTTGGTTGTTATGGAATTTGTTGACAACAAATTATACTCCACGTATAATTTTGAGTGCACATTTTGCAGTGGAATAATTATTTTCATCTGGGAATTACAGCTTTTATTAGTTAAAAGTAATAAAATGAATACAATTAGAAATTACAATAAAATGCATAAAAATATACATCATATGTTATATATTTATAAGCACAATACAGTTTGTAAGCTTTATTCTTTATTTTGCAAAGTATTGATTTAGGAATGTGCAAATGTTCATTATGATCATGAGTTATGAAATATTCCTTAAAACATGGATGAAAACCACATAATAACAAACATATTTTGTTATTTAGTTTAGAGAAAATTTAAAGAGGGAAATGTTTTCGCATAAATAGGACAGACACATTGTAATTAGTGTTTTTCACCTAACATTTCACTGCTGACACGTGTCTGCTGTTATTTGCACCAATATCGCACATTTGCCTCCGGGTGCCTTACGGCGTGTGCAGCATGTGACACTCTGTGCTTAGACCATGAGACTGGATCAGGAAAAACTCCCCCAAAAACCCTTTAATGGTAAAAAATGAAGGAAACATGAGAGAGAGCAGCTCACTACCATGTTGAACCATCAGGAAGATAACACTGTAGATAGATTGTTAAATTTATATTAGGGGTGTGGGGTAACTGGACTGTAATGGGGCATTTTGTTTTGTTGACAGCATCTTCTTATGTAAACAGGTTTTGATGCTTCCACTCTGTCTGCCTCAGCCATCTGTAAGAAACACCCACCTGCTCTGCAACAGCAGCGTCACAACAGATTAATCCTCAGTTAGCCGATGTATAATTAAGCGATACTGCCTTTTGCTTTCCTTCACATTTGCGTGTTATCATCCCTACATGGCTCGCCTCATTTGCAGTCATTCTTGGTCGGTTTTGTGTTGCTCTTATGCAAATCATTCAAATGCTTGCAGGCATCGGCCTCTCCCCGCCCAGAGACAGGAGGACGCTGCTGTACTGTAGTATAATGTAAAAGCTTCTGCACAGCGTGGAAACACCTCACTTGTGTACAGTAACAAACAGCAAAACAATAACACAACTGAAATACTAATGAGGTGAACATGGTGTGAATGTTAAATGGAGTGTTTAATGCTTGCTGTTGTGTCCTCTGGGTGGAGATGTGCTCCCAGGAGATGCCGCCTAATGCTAATTTAATCTCTCGTTTACTTCCATGATGCTCACACACTCACTTCCCTCTTATTACTTAACACCAAGAGCCTGCAGTGACTTCACTCATTTCCCCTTCGTGCACACACACAGTTACATAAAATGGAGATCAGAGTGGGGACTGGCATTCATGATGCTGGCACTATGCTGTCAAGTTGCTATCAGCTGTGTTGGATGAGTGGAAAAAGTGGTCAAATGGTGGTGAGTTCTTCAGGGTTTAAATGATGTTTTGAAACTCAGCACCCAATTTTATGTAGATGAGGTGTAGATTTTTAGTGCAGCAGCTTCTGTGTGGACTGCAGTGAGAAAATGTGACAATTTCAGCAGTGATTTGGACCCAGAACGGTATGAGGGACGTGTTCTGGTGACAGCAGCTGCAGGAAATTATTTGATGTGATTCCTCATCAATTTTATTCTTGGTTCAAAATAAACACTTCAATCCTGATGCTGCAGCACATTCCAAACAAAGTTGGGACAGTTAAGCGTTTACCACGGTGTGATGCTGCCATTCCTTTTCACAACACTTAAAAGACATTTAGGGACTGAGGACTCCAAGTGACTCAGTATGTCAGGTGTCATTTTGTCCCATTCTTCCTGCAAACAACACATTCTCTACTGGGGACAGGTGGGGACTGCAGGCAGCCAGTCCAGCACTCACACCCCTTTCCTCCACAGCCAGGTCTTGGTAATGTGCAGTGTGAGGTTTGCATTGTCTTGTTCAAATCTACCTATCGTTACACTCCTGACTACACTTAATTGCATACACCACATCACTCTGTTTATGTCTGGGTGTTTTGTCCTTTGGGTGGACCAGTCTCTGCCTCAGGGTGTTCCCTGGCAGTTGATTGGGATATTGTGGTTGCAAAATATCCTTTTTAGCTTCTCTGATAAACCAGCCACATAAGGGATGACAGTGTTATCCCCTCTTGTTTCTGGCTTCTCCCTGTTGGTGTTGGGCCTCTTCCTTGCTTTGGTGAAGGCCCACTTGGAGTTTCCTTCTGGCTTCCCCTTATCAAATTAACATTTTTCCACACAGTAATGTGTCAGGAGCCAGTAGTACTCTTGAATAAGACATGTTAAAGTCAGATTAGCAACAAGTTAGCTGTATCCACAACATGCAGCATGAATCCTCTGCCTCTGTTACCTCATGTTTCTCTTTGGACTGTCTGAAGCAGCAGACACCAGCCTGGCAGGGTTAGTGTCCAGCTCTGCACACACCAGTAAAGCTACACAGCATAGTAGTGACTGAAATGCCATTACCTCTGTCAAAGATCGCGGTCTCTGCAGATATTGCTTCCTGAAGAACAGCTGATTTCTGCTCAGTCTGGCTGTGGTATTGGCTCTTGCCGCTCACAGCGCTTAGAACGAGGCTCCGGCACAGAGAAAGTCTCCTGTTGTTGATAAAAGTATTTAGCAGTGCATTATATGACCCGAGAGCAGCTCTGTGTGGCTGGGCGGGGCCGCCAGCCTGGCCGCT